TTCAAGTTTGTAACAAAATTCTGTAAAGTCGATAACTTTGTGTTAATAAGTAAATCTTATTATTTTAAAACTGGGCTTGAAACTAATTTTTTAGTTCACTGTCAAAAATTTGTCAATTACTTTAAAAGTTATTTACAAAAGTGTTAACCACTTCTTAAAACAAAGAAATAAAAATGAAACAAATGTTTTGTTACATTTTAATTTTTTTTCAATATACTATAACATTTTAAACCTGTTTTTGTATATAATAATTACATTTGTTCATATGAAAAAAAACAACACAAGTACAAAGAAATTGAAACACCACCCTGAACACGCTGCGTTTACTTGCTCTTTTAAATCTTGTAGAATCCTATTATGAAATGCACTATAAAAAATGCACAAGAAGCTACGGGAAAAGGCTTATCAGTTGATTATTGTTGTGTGGTTTTTCCCATAAGTTTTGTGTGAAGTCAGTTTTTTGTTTCTGTACTTTAGACTGTTACAACTGATATTCATACTTATAATATAGTTCCAGTGTCCTGTATTAAATACTAGAACTTTCTGACTTTTTTGTAAAGTAGCTACAACTACTCTTGAGCCCTGTAGTGTTCTAGGTGGTTACTGTCTGCTATCAGAAGTGTAATTAACATACAGTATCACCAGTCTTGATGATTCATTTTTAATATGTATAGGTTATATAGAGTTTGTAACTGATTTAACATTTTCCAACAGTTTATATGGCAGTTCAAGAAGAGCTAGGCAATTAGTGATAACTGATTGATTTAAAAAAAGTTTGGGGCAGATGCTGCCCAATTTACCAAAAGTGAACAAGCTTGAAGTGAAAAAACAAAACAAAATTTTTAAGGTTAAAATTGGGCAGAACACTTATAACCCAGTATTTAGTTTTGTTCTTAATAACAAACAGTCATAATAGCAATATTTCAATTAATTAGATAGTTGGAATCAAGCAAAAATAGTAACAGTCAAAAACACTAATTTCAATCAGTTAATTATTTTCATGACAGTTGATATAACCAGAATTTTGATTAATCAATGTGCTGTTGCTTAAAGAGGTTTGAATGTACAAGTTGTTATTCATGCCACATTTGGACTATTGTGTTCACTTTTGAGCTCCTTAAGAAGGGAAATTTAATTATTGGAAAGGGTTCAGAGGAAGGCTACTCTGGTGATGGAAAGAATGTCATACGAGGGTAGGTTAAGATCTCTGAACTTATCTCTTGAAAAAAGAAGAGTTAAGAGAGAATTTGATTGAGGTGTTTAAAATTGTTAAATTATTTTTTGAAATTTAATGGTGAGAATGGTAATAGTAAGGGGATACAGATAAATATATTGGCAGGGTAGGAGTCATCTTCAGCAAAGACAACTTGCCCGGCTCGGGTACTAATATCTGCGGGTCAAAACTAGTTTTCCCATAGTTACACTAATAACAAGAAAGTTCCTAATATTCATATAATTTAGGACCCGCTCCACATCCAAGATCCTATGCTTGCTGTAAGAAACAAAAAATATAGATTGTGGACATTAAACTGTAGGTTATTGACATGATACTGTCCTTTTTAGCTGCATGATTGCTGTACTCCACTCAGTTGTAACAGAATTTCTCTTGGTGAAGACTGTGCTAAGTTCCACAGCCTTTGTTGCGTTAGCTTGTTATGTTCACAAACCAATCTTTATTCAAATAATGCCGAATATACATATAAAAACACGTAGCTAGAAATTTAAACCTACTGCTTTAAGTAAATCACAATAGAATACTTATGTCTCCTTTAAACATACTTATCAGTTTTTACACAGAATCAAATTACAGGCAAAATTACCTATTTTGAACAGATAATTTGCATATGTATTAGAGATAGAAACTATTAGTGAGAAAATTATAAGATTGGTTTCTATTTTATAATTGCAAATATTACTTTTGAAACCATGATTTGTTCTTAGTACAGATTAATTTTTTTAAGTGTCTGGAAGACAGCCGAGTCACAAGAGGCACGTTTTTATTTCCACAGTCTAGTGGGAAACTGTTAATGTTGAGCCCTTGTGTGAAAGATTCGTTGTTAGTAAGAAACCCATAGATACTTACATATGGCTTAACACGTGCTGTGACTTACTGCTATCGTATTAGCTGTGTTGTATTAATAATGATTTTGTAGAAAGGGTGTAATCGAATTGAATGATGTACCTTATAAATAAGAGTTTAAGCTTTTTAAAATATTAATTCTGATGTTTTTCACTTTTATTAATAAACAAAGGCATTTTGAATGTGTATTGAGGAAAATTTTCTTAACATAAAATTACAGTAAATACACAGCACCAAGGATCACAGCTTAATAAAGAATTTCACAGCACTTAGGACTATAGGCTAAATGTAATTACTGAAAAAACTACTTTTGGTGGATGTAAGAATACACTTAACAACTAATTAAAATAAATATATTTATAACAGTTATCTATAAAATTATCATGGATTAAATACCTTTCAGATGAAGTAACATTACCTAACGTTTCTGCTTTGCCAACAATGTACACATGAATGACTGACCATCTGTTTTAAAGTTTTTAAGTTACGGGCATGTAACAGCAAGTCAGAGACCATTACTGCCCACCCAAATTAAACAAACTGAAAACAAATTTCATTAATCGCATTGTTAACAAGCTTACATGATTATGAACACGTCATGTTTATCATTCATTAAATTAATAAAACAAACATGAAAGTTACTGAATTTGCACTTTCCAGTCATGTTATGATCCATAAAATTTATAAACTTTTTTGTAGTTTTTGAAATTATTTGAAAAATTTTCTATGTATTATCAAATCAAAATTACACATTAGCAAATACTTGTGTTCAGTTTAACTATATGTAATGTAATACTCATCCTTGCCTTGCAGGGGAATTACTGTCTTTTTTACCATTTCATTTCACCAACTAACTTATTAATTTTGATAAACAGGCTGGTATCGTGGTTTTTCTACAAGGAATAAAGCAGTAAAGGTATGTTTGTGCGGATACTTTTGTTATATTATGATATTGAACTAAGTGACTTTTGTGTAATGAAAAATTTTTCCAAGAGATTAAATTTTTTTCTGATATAAACACATGACAGATAGTCACGTATGTACGTTATTTGTTTGGGATTGTGATGGACAAGGATCACCATATTTAAAATATTTTTTCCTTAGATTTCAGCTAATGGACAGATCTTTCATTCATTTCCCAGCTTTTGTTGGTTTTTTTAATATGTGGTTTTGAACAGAATCATCACTATATTTTTCTCCTGCTATTAAAAAACATGCTAAGAAATTGCATTCTTCAAGAACCTGTTTTCTCTTTGTGTTGTTTGGTAAATGGTTCTTGCTCTTTATTTCCTTTTTTTCTTCTGTAGATTCCGTAATTAATAACTTTTAGCATTGTTGGTGCATCCCTCTCATATTGATATATTGTCAAACTTTGTACTATACGTTACATTAGTAGCTGATTTATTTGACTGTTGTTTTTGTCCTCTGTTATTGTTAAAGGAAATAACAGGCCAGGTTTAGCCCAGTGATTAGCATGCCAGACTGTGAGTTCAGTCATCTACGATTCACATGTCTGACTCACTTCACACTTAGGGATCATGGATGTATTATGAGAATAATGGTCATTTCCTACTATTTGATTAGATTAGTTAAAGAATTGGTTGTGGGTGCTGTTGACTAGCTGCTATCCAGTTAATCTGACAGTTCTAAATTAGGGGCAGTTAGTGCAGGTAGCTGTTGTGTAGCTTTGCACAAATAAATGAAAGGAAATATGGTGTGTGAAAAAATACAGTGAGCAAGATGAAGGAATATGATAAAATAATACACGTAGAATCAATAGAGTGATTGTTTACACTGATTGAATATTTTCTATGCCTCTGAGAAGTTGCCTTCTGTGGTTTAATTTGGAGTTCTGTCTGAGGACAAGTGAAAGGTGTTCTAGGGTACTCGTCACAATGTATACCAGGTTTGAATAAAGTTATTGTCTACAGTTTAAAACACGTGTAATTCTCTGTTATAATGAAGTTACTGTCTACAGTTTAAAACACGTGTAATTCTCTGTTATAATGAAGTTACTGTCTACAGTTAAGAACCTGTATAATTCTCTGTTATAATGAAGTTACTGTCTACAGTTAAGAACCTGTATAATTCTCCATTACAGTAAAGTTACTGTCTACAGTTAAGAACCTGTATAATTCTCCATTATACTAAAGTTACTGTCTACAGTTAAGAACCTGTATAATTCTCCATTATACTAAAGTTACTGTCTACAGTTAAGAACCCATATAATTCCCCATTAGAGTAAAGTTACTGATGTATTTCTGAAACAAGTTAGTAACGTCATTTACTGAACTATACTGAAGTTTGATCAGGGTTGCCATTGTTCTTAATCTTTTAAAAATATTTTCAGGGAATTTTTCCGGCATCTTTCATCCATTTAAAAGCTTTCAGGATTGAGAATGAAGGGTAAGTTTACATTTAATGAATTTGGCTATATACATGAAGTGTGGTGCAGTTGTGTTTTTGTCATTACTTTTAATGTATAATATTTCCTCATGTGATCTATGTAATAACAGTATACTTGTGTAAAGAAGCACATTATGCTAATATAATAATAGGTTGGCAAACAACGATTGATTAGCATAAGGAAGAATTTTATTGGTGGTAGGACATACTACGTGTTCCAACTTACGAAGACAGACCAATGTTCTGTGAAACGTGGTAAGTTCCACCATCAGTATAATTCTTTCTTGTGCTTATAAATCATTGTTTGCCTGCCTATTATAATAACAGTATAGCAGTAAAGATTCTCCTGTTTAAAAGTTTGGATGATGTGGTCTGCAGATTGTATGAAACTGTCACTCCTTGTGGATGACACCTCGGTACGAGAAGTAGCCTGCGTCCTGAGAGAATGGCACGTGATATGGAAGAGACTTTACGTGGTAAGGCTTTCCATTTGATTACTGTCAACCAGAATTTTCGTTCTTGTTAGGTAATTATGTAGTAACAGATATATATTTTGACAAAAGTTAAGTAGGTTAGTGTTGCTTCGTGAACTGATGTGTATATTTTTAGATGATGAAAAAGAAAGTCCTTGAAGAAAATATGTTGAATGTTCAGACGTTATATAGCATCAGTAGGTATTTAGGTAGATTTTCATTAAGTTTTATAACGCTACTGAAGACGTTCTTGATTAGGAAGAAGCAACTACAAACTTAGGCATCAGTAGGTATTTAGGTAGATTTTCATTAAGTTTTATAACACTACTGAAGACGTTCTTGATTAGGAAGAAGCAACTACAAACCTAGGCTCACGTTTATAATACTGAATGATAAGAATATAATTTGTGAGATAGAATATATGAAGGAAAGGTGTAAGAGAAACTAAAAAATTTATTCTCTGTTATATTTTTGTTGTTGCATAAAAAGTTTTTTCAGTTTTCTAAGAAATCTTTTTGGGGTTTCATTTGTGTTAAGGTCATGTAATATATTTTTGTTGATACAAAGTCTTTTAACTTGTTGAAGATGTTTGTTTGCCCTTTATAAGTGTTGAGGTCACGTTTAACATGTTAAACATTTAGGTGTTGTGTAGTATGATGCAGGTAAACATTCTTTGTAAGTTATCAATGTTGAGTTCAAGTCTTAACTAATACTTTTGTCCAAGTTTAACATGTTAGATATTTAACTGTTGTGTAGTATGATATATATCAAGGTAATCCTTGCTTTATAGTTATTTGTTTTACCTGTACTCAACAAATCGGTTTTCTTAAGAATTTTCACACATAAAATATTTTATATAATTTTAGATTTGTTTATTTTGTTAAAGCTTTTACTGTTTTGATTTTAAACTCAGTTTTAATGGTACGGTTTTTATTATGTTGTTACAAATTTGAATCTGGAAATAGGGAATTGACATATGTAATATTTTTATGCTGCTTTATCTCAAAAGTATGGTTTTATTTTATGCAGTATACATTGTGATGTTCCTGTTTATGCTGATTTTGTATCTTAAACTTAGTTATTTCATAGAATTTATCCTATTTCACATGTTAGAAGCAACAGAAATAGATGTATGTAGACTATTGTTGTCGTCCTGCTGAGAGAGTTAGACGAGACATTCTAGTAATGAATTATTAAAACTAACGTACTGTTGTATTTGTGTATGGTGAATGCATTCTCATCTCTACAAAACAGTTATTTCTGTTGATAAAAATTTGACGTTTACTCCTTTCTTTAATTTTGTTTCTCCTCTTTGTATAATGCATGTGATGTGTTTTTAATCTAGAGGCGAGAACTGACGCTGGTGTCACAGCTGCAGGGGGTTATGTGGGACTTGATGGAGTGGCGAAGACAGATAATAGGAGGCACTCTTACCCAAGACCAGATAAGGGAGCTTAAGATAAAAATCACTGCCAAAATTGACTGGGGAAATAGGTATTTAAACTAATTAAAAACATTAGTTTTCACAATTCCTACAAAAATAGTTAGCAACTGTTTTGACATTAAATTCAGTAAGGAAAGTACAATCATAAAAAAACATTGTAAATTTGTTTTATAATCCATTAAACTATCTAAAACAAAACACATACTTAAAGATGTCTAAATGTTAATTTTTAAGTGTGAGAGACAAATGCACCTGACCTCACCTGCACAACGTGAATTTGATTTTTTAAAAGCTCAAGGAGGAATGTTTTAATTTTCATTTAGTAATCAAGAAAATGTAATTTGTTGTGCGATATCATTTTTGGTTTGGTTAGTTTACTGTTTTATGCTTACTTGTCTATGGAAGTACTTTATATATACTAATATAATAGTAAGTTGATAACAGACGACCAACATTCTGTTGAAACGTGAAAAATATAGCATTTCATTATTCTTATAAATTGTTGTTTGTCAACTTGTTTGTTTATTAATAGTTACCATGTGCTTGATGTGTCTTTTAATTTGTTTATGAATAGTTACCATGTGATTCATGTTTTTTAAATTTGGTTATGAATAGTTACCATGTGCTTCCTGTGTTTTTTAATTTGGTTATGAATAGTTACCATGTGCTTCCTGTGTTTTTTTAATTTGGTTATGAATGGTTACCATGTGCTTCCAGTGTTTTTTAATTTGTTTATGAATAGTTACAATGTGCTTCCTGTGTTTTTTAATTTGTTTCTGAATAGTTACCATGTGCTTCCTGTGTTTTTTAATCTGTTTATGAATATTTACCATGTGCTTCATGTGTTTTTTAATTTGTTTATGAATAGTTACCATGTGCTTCATGTGTTTTTTTAATTTTGTCTTACTAGAATTCGTTAGGGAGACTTCAGTATTACATTTTTAGGAATAAAATCACTCCAAATTTGAGTGACAAATGTTTAGATAAGTACTTAATAATCATCATTAAAAGTTACAGGCGTTTTTATTTGTTGTATTAAAAGTTGTTTTTTCTTCTCCAATATTCCACTCTTGTTTTTATTTTTAATTTTTGGATATTGAGATGGTTGAAACATGAAAGTGAGATGTTTTTTTTTTATTTTAGACAACTAGGACTGGATCTTGTGCCCAGAGTTGATGGTGAAATGGTTGATACTGAAACATTAAGTCCAGTGGAGCTGTATCAAGTGGTGAAAAACCTTATTCTCATCTCATTTTGTCTGCCTTGTAGTAACTTTATCAGAAACTGTATAACTTGTTTCTGTACTGTTATAACTAAAAACTTGTGATAACTAATAAGTTACTGTACAATTCAGAACCAAGATAATTTTAAAACAACAATGAGCACTTTTACATAAGCTTTCATTTCTACATCGGAAGTTCTGGTGCTACCTCATTTTTGTACTAAGAAACAACCAATCATCTTTAAAAACGACTTTTTCTGCAGTAAACTGATTTTTATAGCTGTACTAATGTTTTTTTAACTGTATATCAACTTATAAATTTTATTTAAGTATAACCTTTTTACCTATTTTATTTCTAAAATTCAAATCTTGTAAGAACAAAATATCAATAGTTCAAGTATTACATCCCTTTATAATGTAGGGATGGATTTCAAATTTATCAGTAAATTAATATTTTTTAATTTGACAAGTTTATGACCTATTGTCGTGAAAGTAAAAATAAAATGTGAAAATTTCAGTTTCTGAGAAGCTAAAAATTTATTCTGAAGGTTTATAAGATGTTTTCCAAGTTATTTATAAAGCATGTTTAGAAACTACGTAATATTTTAATAAAGGAACATTTTCATTTACGTACAGTTGCAATTTTAGAAAAGTGTTACATTTTGTATAAATGTCATTTTTTATGTAAGTCAGTAAGAACACTTAAAACTTTTAACTGTTTTTAGGTGTAAGTTTAAATGGCTCCTGTTCAAATGTATTATATATATGTATGTGTGTTTTTACATTGCTTCATTTTATTTTTTTACTTTGTTTTTTTTTCAGCATCTCCAAAGCTCAGAAAATGTGTCAGGACCTTTAGTAAGTGGTTTTTATTGTAATTATTTTCATTAGAACTAACCAGAGGAGCTTTATTGACCATGATATTGATAATGTTATCAAATAGGCATTTAATTTTTCCTGTGCGTGTTCATTAGGTTAGGTGAAAATTTTATATTGAATATTGAGTTGTAAGTGTTATAATTGGTATCAGACTGAGCCATTAAAGAAGTTCCTATCTTTCAGTAGCTCATAGATAATCATGTGTGGTCCAGATAATAATGGCTTTTAATTTATTTTATGGAACATTTTGTTTACAGATTTACTGTTCAGCTAGAAATACCTGAAGAAGAGCATTGCCCGAAACATTGTATCTATAGTAGTATATATTAAAATATACATTTCTTTAGGTTTATATCTTATCGAAGATAAGTCATTTAGTCATTTGTTTTCTGCATTTATTTTATGTGCATTTATTTCTTACCTAAGAAAGTACTTCTGAATTCTTTTACAGGGAAGAGGGACCAATAAGAAAAAAGAATCCAAACGTGCCCTAACTCATCATATTTTTATGCACTTGAGGGATTTTGGATATTCTGTAGGAGAAGATTTGGAAATCTATTGTTCACTTTATGATACTCAGCAGGCTGAGTTTATCAGGTAAGGTTTGTTTGTTTTTTAACTTGGAAATTATTTATTGGTTAACAGTTTCAATGAAATGTTTTTTTGTTATTGTTAGTTTGGGATAATGCTATGAGAAAACTTCTGCTTTTAATCCAATTGATGGTATATATTTTTTTCTCTGTGTGTATGTCTGTATTATTTAGAAGTTAACTGTTTTTTAATGTTTACATTTATTTTTGTTACCTTGTATATATTGATATTTGTACACACTAGTCACCTTCCATATTCAGCAGTATTTTTTATTGATGCTGATGCTATTAGTTGTGTTCTTGCCATCTTTGCTAAGTTTTAAGTAATTTTTAATCTTTTCACACCAGATGTCTTCATGTGGAACATTTCCTGTTTATTGCTTTCAAGTTTAATGACCAACGATGTATAAAAATAGCTTTTTTTCTTTGTGTTCCCAACTTTTGTTTAGAATCTTTTTTCTTAAGTTTTGTAGTATCTTCTATATTCGATAAGGATCACTTCGATATATTTCTTTAATAATACTGTTAATTATACATCTGATGTAGAAGGTGACATTCTGTTTTTAGCTAATTGATTTGTTTCTTGTTTAGGAACTTAATAAATTCAAAAATTGATTTTGTATTTTATTTTATATTGATGTTTAGAAAATTTCTCACTGTAATTTGTTTTAGTAGAAGTTGTGTTTAATATTAAGTTTTGACAAATTAATGCAATATAGTTTCATAACTGTTTTAAGCAGGATTAGTACCTATATTTTTCTAGTGAAAGATTTCTAATCAAGCTTGCCAAATATGGACAGTCCAATCACTGTACATTATTTACGGTACGTAGCGAGTTTTGTAATATTTTTAGGTATCATTTTTGTGTGAAGAAACATTCTACTGAAATAAAAGTACAAAGTACTATAGCTTTTGTTTCAAATGTATTTAATATATGACAGAAATGAAAAGTACACAATTTTATGCGTAAAACCATCACAACTTTTCAAAGTATTCTTTCTAAGTATTTAATTTTAAAATAGCAATTTTGTGTTTACCCAAGAAAATTAAAAACATTCAGTCAGTATAGGAGTAATTTAACTAAAATTTTTTTAAATCCACATGCATTCTAATTAAACAAAGTAGAAAGAATGAAATATATGCAACAGTACTTATTTCAGTTCCATCAGTTAATGTTGTCTTGTTTTTAGACATTCTATAGAGTTTGCATTTTCATTTGCTTTCTTTTTTTTTAACAAATGCATATTAAAATGTTATTCTTAAAATCAAGGTTTTTTAACAAAATGATAAATGTTACAGCTACATGCTTTTTGTGCTTCAGTTAGTTTATCATTTTAATTCATTTCTTGTTAGTTCTGTATCTAGGATTTGATTATGTAATTCATATGAACTTGCCTCATGTAATAGTAATAGAACATTTCTGTATGGTGTAATGTTTACGGGGTTGTTGTAATAGTAATAGAACATTTCTGTATGGTGTAATGTTTACG